CAGTCGTGTTTTTGGACACCGTTTCATCTCTTTAGTTAAGTGGTTTGTGCCTTCGAAAAAAAATATTGTTCTTTTAAGTAAGATTTTGTTGCATCCAATCATTTATGGTACGAAGTGGGGCGATAAAAAATCTCAAGCCGTCCCACTTAGAGAGGTGGCGTCTCACGGACGACCGGAGGTCAAACTGAACAACTGTTAAGCTATTTTTTTTTGTAAGGAGGAGCAGTGCATGGCTGCAATTCCTTTTTCATCCCCTTATTCAAAAAAAGCACAGTTTATTGTTCCTGTGTTGAAGTAGTGCCGCCTAATAACCCACCACTGGGTCAAAGCCGCCATTTTAATGACAAGTGTCAAAAGTGTCAAAGTTTTCCTTTTTTTAATTGGTGCCAAATTGGTAGTATCTACTGCTCTCTTCTTTGTTTCAATAGTCATTTTGAGCAAAGCATTTGGAGACCCGTTTTTGTACTATTCCTCCCTTTCATATGTTTTGTAGATCTCACTAAACAGAAGTGGAGAAGTGAAAGAGCACTAAGGCATTCGAGAAAAGTCGAGGCGCTGGAGCAAACCTGTCAACAGGCTTTTCTGCCCAGCCAAAGTGCAATTCAACGGCCACAGATCCCCTCAAAGCCAAGACAAAGGCTTCAGAAAGCAGGCAATGCATAACGTGACGCTGCTTTACACTCCCAATTCCACGGATTTTACGACACCTCTTCTTAACCACCCGTCCAGAGCATCAAAGTGTAGGCCAACAATTCAGAGTCAATGCTCCTCCCGACTGTTATGGAAATTGTTACGACACACAAAATCGCAGCGGTTGCACAAGGTGGATCTTATTACTAAACCGTCTGTTAGATGTAGCCACCAATTCTTCCATTTGCATCTTTTTTCCTCACTAAAAGCATAATTTTTGCAGTGCCTTAACGAGAGCGACTGTTCTCTCAGTTACACCACCGCTCTTCATTTCCATCAACCTTGTTCACTTTTGATGAAAGTAACCAAAACAGACAATACTAAAATGTGGAAGAACAAAGAAGCTACTGTTATGCTGTCCTTTGTAAGTGCCAAGGAGGAGGTTGTAGGAAGGTGTCACGAACTGAATGAAATGTGTAAAACTACTCCCTGCTCTGGACGCTTTCAGATCAGACAAGCAAAATATGCAGTTGTGAGGAGAAAGAGCGTGCATCTCGGTGCCAAGACTGCCAAACAGCGGTTCCCTGCTCAATTAAGCTTTTGTCACATCTCAAAGGAGTTTTTTTTTCTATGTTGTAAGTTGATGGATGACAAGAAATTCACTTTGCTTAAAGAAGGTGCTTTCCTCGCCAAATCGTTTACGCCCAACTTTGAGGACGATGAGGAACAAAACGACACAAGAAATCATAAACGTTGCCATCGTCACAACACTACATTAAGACGGTTGGTGTCGAAAGAAATCAAGTAGTTGAGGAGTTTTTTTGACTAAGCAAGCCTAGTGGTGCGTAGTTCAGAAGACCTGCTCCTACTTTCTGCATTCATGACAGCATTTTATCGCCTCACAATCCAAAAGGTGACACTTTATGACACCAAACAATGCAATTTGCAGGCTGCTGTCGAGAAATGACATTGTTTACTTGCCTGCGCTATACAATTTCACGGAGTCTTTAAGTGCGCCTTTACCTCAGTCTTGCAATCCGAATAAAGTGATGAAAATTGCCTTGCACTTAGATTGCATTTAAAAATCCATTTACCACCGAAGGAGACTTCTCGTGTCTTTCGTGAACGCCCTTACCTATGAGGAGGTCGACTGTCAGGCATTCTGCTGTTGAAAGACGATACATATTTCCTGCTGGACGATAAAGGGACTTGACTGGTCAGGCTCAAGCACCAAATCAAAGAGGAAAGACAATCACAGCCTTGATTGAGTGCGAGGAGAAGAATGTAGTGATGAAGACAAGTCCAGATAAATAAATGCGTCTAAGAGGTGGACATCAAGTGGAGCATTCCTCCATCCTAGGAGGTCCTAACACAGTTTGAAGCCTTTTTAGCGCCCCTGTGGCAGAAAATAAATCTGGGAGTTTGGGGGCACCTGCCACCATGTCTCTGCCTACAAAAAAGGCAAATGCGATTGGCCACAGTTTGGCGCCATGGCAACACAGATTTTCCACCAGCAGTACATATGCCAAATCGAGGTAACTTGAGTCACGTTGATTCAACTCTTTAGATACCTTCTACAATTGCAAACCCATGATTGGTAAAAAGAACACAAAAGTAGTGCGCAAACATTGGAACAAAAGCTTTAGATAGCCGTAGTTTAAGATAAGTCGTTCCTGAATGCATTGCACCTTCCTCGCCTATTTGGTGAGAAGTCACGATTTGCACCTGTCATTCTCTTACTGTTAAATAACGCGTCACCACGCCTGCTGCCAATGCTGTCTGCAATCTTTGTAGCCCTTTATGGTTTCATTCCTCCCCCCACTATCCATTCCGCCAACTAATTGTTACATTTAATTTATTGTTTAGGGACGACAAAACATAGAGCAAAAATTAGGTGTAAGTGGTGAGAGAAAACAGACACAATGCTACAGACAAAATGGAGTTCCGCCAAAAAAACCGTTGGAATGGAAAGCGGAAGGGAAGGATTTTAATTTTGTCCATATGCGGCACTTTAATTTGGAGTGTTGGAGGTTGAGCCATTCAATACAAAGTATTAAAATTGCGAATTTTCTCAAGCATTCCTAAAAGAGCAAACAGACCTTAAGGACTTGAAGAATATCATTATAAAGGAACGTTGATTATTTGCAGCATTAATCAAAAGCAAACATTGCGCTGAAAAGCTGGTACAAAATTACTACAATTCTCTGCTGCACACTTCAGCAACTAACTTGCAGCTCGCATGATAAATCAAGAGCTCTCAACACCAAGATAGGGTATTAGCACTAATTAGAGCCTAAAAATACGCTCGAAAGGTGCTGAGAGATCACGTATTTTATGACTGAATTAAGTCCATTGACAACCCGTTGACAGTAACTTGACTACACCACTTGAGTGATATGCTGCCGAGTAGGACGAATTACTGATACCGGGAAAGGAAAGAAATCGAGTTCCCCACAGGCCAACGTGACTTATTTTAACAACTTCGAAAAATAATGGTAAAGAAGCAGCTATTTTGCATATTGGCGATAAACAAAATAAACAGAAAAGAAACAGAGAGAGATGGGCGAGATCGGGAAGTCGGTAAGCTTAGGTGTAAATTGTAAAACATTCAGCCTAATTAATTAGTAACACTTTGCTAAGTCAAGATTGTAGGAGAACAGGTAAGCAAAATTTGTAGCTTAAAGCAATTTTAAGAACAAAATTTGCAGCCAAACAGCCAGATGAAAAAAGAACTGAATCCGCTTTGGTTGTTTATGCAACGCTTATTACAACAGAGCATTAAAATTGTCAAATCTTGAACCGAACAGCAAGGTAAGCTGGATTGATAGTTTCAATTAATCAAAACAAAGGTTGATAAACACTTACAAAAGGAGCACAAATATTACAACTTCAATCAGGCCCATTTAATGGTGCTATATAGATTTATTTCCCATATGCGACACTTGCTGTTCCTGCGTAAAAAATTTATAATGTAACGAGCATAGCGTAGAGATTAAATATTAAAGTAAAGTTATACTTCACATGCAAAATTAGAAGACTAATAGAAAGTGAAATATTACTTTTATATAAAGTTACAACGCTGTGCGCCTAGCTGAAGAGCAAGGCGAAAGTGCTCAGATTTACAACCATTTTATTTCCCGGTATTAAAAAATACATGATATTAGCGACCTGCTTCAGATTGGGCATATAACTAGGTGTCTTTCGAAAGTACTTGTAGCGGACTAATGTTTAATGAACTATATTTAACTAGGTGGACTGTAAAACTCACGATTTATATTCCACCCTAACGACACGGCTTACTGGCCAAGCGTACCGCTTCTCAGTTGACCCTCAATCTCGCCAGCATTGCGTTTAGCGGTTCAAGAGAATGCAGTACTGGCCATGTCAAAAAGATTCTTTGTTTTAATCCCAGGCTTATCAGATTTAAACTCCAAAATATGGAAACAGTTTCACCCGATGACTGGGTATGCGAAAATTCCCTAGCGCAGTTCTGTTTTAGTTTCTGTTCTAGATTGATTTAAATTCCACTTTGCAGTCTCAAAGGATTGTAATCGTTAGCAGCAACAAAAGTGTTCAAGACGAGTTGTTTGACGGGTCCTAATGTGAATCGTCCTAAAACTACCTGCTTCATAGACCTAGCAGATAGGTTTTGTCGTGGTTTCACGTTTATCAAACTCGAATTCGAAATTCAATCATCGTCTTTAATACACCTATGGTTTTCCACCACTGCTGCCCACTAACGCAGAGGGCTACTTTAATGGTTCCATCAAACAAAGACTCTTTAGGGCCGTTACAGAGACTCGACAACTAATAGGGCAATTGGCCAGTGTTTAAGAGGATACAAGGAAGACACAGATGCATCAATCTACAGTTCTTGTCTTCTCTATGGTAGTAAGGCCGGAAGTAGAATGTCTCGAAGCGCCAGCACTTAAGCGGCTCAGGCATGATGGGAGTGATAAGTGCCCTTCGCAAAGAAACAGCAATAAAAGGGTAGTAAACAAATCCACAGTCTACAATGTTTGAGAGGCTATCAGTTAAACTCGAAATTCATGCCACTCAAGTGAAGTGGTCTCGGAGTAAAACTGGTTAAAGAGTATAACAGTAGCCTTTCCAGTAAATTTTGCACCTTCTGATTGATTTGTGAGATTATGAAACTATGTTTGGCAAAAACCCGCCTATTTAATGTCTACAACAGACTATGAGCATGTTACCCCATCATGTAGAGAAAAGCAGCATAGTTTGAAGCCCTCTCTCTTCCTATTGGCTAACTCCGATTGAACCAATCACAAATCCCCAAACTAAGCAGCTATGTAAGAAGGCAATGTGGGTTTTCACACCAGTCAGAAGTACCATGCAATATCCTCACCAACATGGAACCAATATCACCCAAAACTGAGTCTAAGCAGTGTCTTCGAGCCCGCATTTGGACAGCTTTTGTGCTTTTTTGTCGCTGTACCACCGTCCGTGGTTTGGGCAAGCTATGGCAGGGTCCCACCTTCCTCCGCATAATATGGGCTATCTTTGTGGTTTCTATGATGTGCGTCCTCCTTATCTCTGTGGTTCTCTTAATCCTCGACTTTCTCGCTTATGATGTGGGTGTCCATACTCGCCTTCTTTTGGATGATCCATCACCTTTTCCGGCACTCACTGTCTGCCATCATTATCCCTTCTCAATGCGAGCCCGCAAGCTATGGCAGGAAAGGAAAGTCCTCTCACCTGGTCGGTTTAATCGGTATATGAGAAACTTGACCTGGACTAATCTCCTAAATAATGATGTTAGTGCGGCTGAAGCTATCACATTCTACGACAGTTTGTCAGTCTACTATCAGAATCTCAGCCCCGAGGAGGCGAAATCCCTGGGTCACGATCATCGTATCTTCCTAAATTGCATGCGCGTATCTTCACAAACTTCCATATTTGAGGATGACTGTCGCTTGCTAAAGGGTTACCGCGTTAGACAATTTTCTCACCATCAATACCTGAATTGTCACACATTTGAACCAGTGGATCAAAAGGAAGCGCTGGAGACATCATTTCTAAGTCTTATTGTAAGCATGGGCCCTAAGGAAAGCTCAGATCCCGACGAACAGGCTTTCCTGCCCGATATCTTTGAGCAGGCGAAAGGTCTGCGAGTAGTTGTTCACGAACCGGGCACATACCCGGATCTGGAAAAATTCGGTCTTCATGCTGAGCCAGGGAAGTTAAATGAAATTGGTTATCAGCCTGTCCGATGGACAAAAATGAATACTCCTACACGACCCTGCTTTCATGAAGCGGAGAAGTATTATGATCTCGATGGTATCTACAATTACACCCATGAACAATGCCTCCTATTGTACCAGCAGAAGGAGATCATAGAGGATTGTGGTTGCTACTATGTAATGAATCCACGGCCCTCTTTTCCCACCAATGAAAAGCCTTACTGTGGGAGAATGTGGCCCAATTTGGATATCGAAAAGTTCGTTAATCGTTTGGAATGTTTGCGAGACAAGTTGAATATTGCAGTGAAAAGGAAGTACGATGGAAGTGTCTGCCTTCCTCGATGTGAATACTACACCTACGATTCCGCCATCTCGATAACCAAATGGCGGGCCCAAATGTGGCAATTGTACTGGCTGCGAGTTCAAACTCAGGCCGTGCGATTGACACAGGAGTTCATGCAGCACAACTCCAGTCGAAATATCACCGAGAGCCTCGGTTATCGCATGTGGAAGCGATATCTTAGTGAACGTAATCTCAGTGGCATCCCAGAGGAGGCGACCTGGAATGACTCTACTCGTCCGTCAGATGTGATCAAACAGATCAATTTGGACATTGATGATGGCTTTTTAGCAAACGATGACGGTTTCGCCTACATAGTTCTCAAACGCAAATCACAAAACACCATCGACAATACAGAGAAGTTGGTTCTAACTCTCAACGTTCTAGTCTCTCGAATTGGCGGACTCTGTTCGGTGACCATTGGCATAACCGCCGCTTGTGTGGTAGAAATCATTGAGTTTGTCTACTATGCGAATTGCCACAAAAAAACCACCCCAAATAGGACAAAACCGGGGGCAGAAACTGTTGACCAGGAGGGTGACAGACAGGAGGAGAAAAGTTGTTGAAAACTTGTTGACGTTTTACGTTATTCTCCCCACACGCACACACACACACACACATCCTCCCTCCTCACGGACAATGCAAGCATAACGCAACTTCTCTCCATCTCTCTCCCTCTGTACAAAAGAAATATCGCTCTCATAAGTTGAACCGTTAGTTGTTTGTACATGCATTTGTATGTGTATATAGGTTGTGTATAATCGAGCGCATTCAGAAGTTGACTTCCCACTTGCCCATGAAATATACACCTGTCATTCCGACAAAAAAAATTTGGACTTTTTGCCATCATTTTCATCATTTTTACACCCAAATATTAAATCACCTTCATATGTAGGAAGGAGAATGTTAAAGTTGGACAAACAGTAAGTCGTGAAAAGGTTTACAAAAAGGAGGGGCAGCTTTGGATGGGGTACTTTTTTCCTTACAGAAGGTGAATTCTTAAAAGAAGGCCCGCGTGACACCCTTTACAGATACCGCCTGTCCCCTTAACACCCGAGTTGGCGAAGTTGTAAACTCTGAATGGCGAAATGAGGAATGAAACTTGATAAAGTGCTGCTTGTTTGAATTCACAAGCCTAACGAATTAAAATTTTTAAAAATAATTATTTTATAAGTCTGGCAGTTGGGACTGCGAGACAAAACGAAGGATGAGGCTTGGCCTTTTCTCCTCTCCCTTTATTCACTTTTTCATCTCTTTGAAATTTTTTAAGAACAAAAAAAAGACAATAGTGTGTTAAATTGTGGAAGAATAATGTCATAGCAAGAAAAGATTCTGTTTTAGACCGGTCTGCTTTCGGTGAGAATGTGTATCCCTCCAGGTTGAGGTTTTTGGGGAGGGGAAGGGGACTCGAGTAGCCGCACTAAGGCAACTAATGCATCTAAATAAGTCACGTCTGTAATGTACAGAGCCGAGGCAGTTATAAGCACGTTTTAGGAGCAGTAAAAATTGTCATTTTCTAATTGCATCGCCTC